ATCGCTTGCGACAATGTGGCTGAGTCAACTGAATTTCCAGGGGAAAATGGGTGTTGTAAACTTCAGTGTATTTTTCCTACAAAACTAAATCATTATCTTAAAAAACTTTTCCAAGCCTCCTAAGGGTTTGGGATACATTCATAGGTGAATTGCTGGTTACAAGTCAACGACCAAGGAAGCTTACTACAAGAACTATGGGTATAACCCTGAATTCGTTAAACATGTACACACCTAGACTGAGGAGATGAAAGACGTCATCAACTGAATTACCGGGCCTGTTTCTGTACCAAAAACATCACAGTTCGCCGAGACGTAAACCTGTCATGACTGGGATGAACACGTGCGCTGCTGAGTATCTTACTAGTTCACAGCTTGTGTAAGCGGCCACTGACCAAGGAGAATTCACATCGCCCAGATGAGGAAGAGCCACCACGCCGTCTCCTCTCTGACTGCTCGCCCGGGGGAGGGGGGAGGAGTCAGCTCGCTGTGCGGCTTAGGAAGGTGGTCCGTGCCCCTGAAATGTGAACCGTGCCTGGCTCTCTCTCCAAACAGAAGCCGTGAAGAACCCGATAGGAGACGGAAACAGCCGACACTGACAATCACACGGAGTTAAGTTGTGGAAGATGCTTTACAAACCAGGTGTTTTTCTAGCGAGTCAAGTCCTCAGGAATAAAGCCTGGCTCTTGGGCGTTTAGTACCGATTCTTAAAACTGACCGACGTCCGCTTACTCTAACCTTGTAGTACCAGTGGGTGCCGGGGACGCCACCCGGCATTCTAAAAAGAGCAAAATTCCATTTGCAAGCGTGCCGGCCAGCCCTCCCACCCTACACGGCACAGCCACTTCCCTGCCCTCGTGGCTCAGAGCACAGGGGCCACCTGACTGGCCTTCTGAGCCACACGCAGCACGTGGTGGACATTCAAGACTCAGTTGGGCACGTCACCAAGGAAACACCACACCCACAGCCCCAGCGCCCAGGGCAGTGTGGCAGGGTAGCAGGGAGCAAGAACTCAGCCAATTGGAGAGAAAGGTGATAGGATCACCTGCTTTGCTTCCCAAACATGACATGATAAGAGTTATCCTGGCCCCTAGGGGCCACAGAAGAACTATCTCAGTGGCCTGGAGATGAGACCCTTCCCTTGCTTGAGAATATGTGTGTGTGTGTGTGTGGGGGGGGGGGGGTTGGAGCCTCCCAAAGATGCTCAAGGCTGGACACCCATGGCCACATCTGGACAGGAGGGGTCCTGAGTCCACAGCGGCTGGTGCACAGGGAAAGCCCTCCACGGGCAGGGCTGAAGCCAGCACGCCAGGAAGGCCGTGCTGAGGAACAAAGGTTGGTGATGCTCCCACCTTCCCTGTGGCCAGGTCTCCCTTCCTCCTGAGAACGGTCCATCTACAGCCCTTGCCCTGAGGACCCCTGATGGGGACCAGCGGCCCCGGGAGAAAATCCGGCTCGCGCCGGCCTCAGGATGGCTAATGGCCTCAGGATGGCTAATGGCTCCCTTCACGGCCTTCCCCGCCCACTGCCCTGGTGAAGAGCCCCCTCAGGACGCTGTGAACAGAGCCTCTGTCCCCACTTGTTCCACTCTCTTGCTCACGGCTGGACTTCTCTGGCTACAGATGTCTTCCCACAGGGATCGTGGGTGTTTGCAGACAGAACACATTCTTCCCTAAAGCCTGACCCACACAACCAGGCGCCTGGACACCAGCTTGGATGACGGGACACCAGAGACGGCGAGGGTCCTCGGCCCCTTGTCTCCCCGGACGTGCCGCCTCCCACTGCAGAGGTGGCAGCCCCTCCTGTGGGAGGGACAGGGACGCAGACTCCGTTCCCACCGTGGTCCAGAGCCAGAGCCACCTGAGCTCCGGGAAGTGAATGTCACCTGAAACCTCCGTGGAGAAGAGAACAGCCAGAGGCCCTGTAACCCCATAAACACAAACGGGGCTCGAGCTGGCACTGTCCACAAAGAGCACGTCGGCAAACAGACAAGCCCCTGATCTGAGGCAGCAGGTAGACACAGGCTCCCCACCTGCCTGCTCCAGCAGCAGCCGCCGGGAATACAGCATGAGGGGGAGAGGCAGCCTGAAGCCCAAAGAGCTGGCGCAGACCCCCGGCCTCTCCCCTCTCCCCGGCCACACCCAACAGGACCATCTCCTGACACATCATCCTGGTGCCAAGGCCCCAGAGAGATGCCACGGCGGCTGAGTGCAGGGTCAGCAAGGAGGGAGCCCCCCCTCCCCACCCCCACCCGGATAAAAGGCACGCAGGCCGCCAGGAAGGCATCCTGACCAGCAGGTCCCCACGCAGGGCCGTGGCTCAGCCCTCCACAGCCAGGCCCGAACTTGTTCTCCCACGAAGCCAGCCAGCGCACAAAAGGAACAGCCCCTGGAGGACATCTGAAGTGACCACGCGAGGAGAGGCCGGGCGATGCCCCAGCAGAAACAGGCCCGTCATCCCGGGGGAGTCAGCTACATGAGCGGGCGGTCCGCTGGTTTCCGAGGATGGGAAGGAGGGACGCCCGGCCCTGCCTGAGCAGAACGCTACGGAAATGAGATATGGCACTTTTCAATAAATAGTTTAAAGCTTCTTAAAGAAATCAGCGAAAAAGAAAAGCAACTGCTGTAAGACCTGTTTTGCTGTTTAAAAAAATGATTCCAAGGGGAGAAAAATACCACAGCACAAAAGTTTTTTTTAGAAGGTAAACAACAACATAGCTTCCCCAAACAACAACACAACAAGAAGACCTGTCCCTGCAGCCAGCTCAGCCGGCTCCCACCATGACCCACGAAGCAAACACGGAGCTCTGGGAGGGAAGCACTCACCTCCCACGCCCCCGTGCAAACAGGGGGAGGAGAGGGCACGGCCACCCCCAGCATGCCGAGCGGGCAGCGGGCTGAGCTCGGGTGGGAACTCCCAGACACCCCCCCCCCCCGCCCCCCGGCACAGACCGCCCCGAGTCACAGTGGGATTATTCAGGGACAACTCCGGGCTCTTCCGAGATCACAGCTGCTCACGTCCTCAAGCAATGAAGTCTCAAGTAAGATGACCGCACGCGGGTCTCTGGGGGCCACCGTTTCACCAAGTTACAGTGGGGTTACCTGTCCTTCCGAACATCAACCCATCAACTGGAGGGACACCTCTGAACCTCCAAATACCCCGCAGGTGCCCCTCCCAGGCTCCCCAGGTCAGCCTCTCCCCATCGCCTTCCAACTCGCCCGCTCCCCCCCAAGATGAAGAGATCGCTTTACAGAAAATGGCCTACAGAAACCAGAAGGAAAAGCCTTGACAAACACGCGTGATGAGTGCCCGGCTCGGCCCGCACAGCCAGCCGGCCTACGGGTGACGACCACTATTTACACGGGGCGTTACCCAGCAACAACGGCAGCACTACCTAGGAGGCTCCAACTTTTTTTCTTTTTCTCTATTTCTTTTAAACTTTCTCGTCATAAAAGCCAACTTACATTAAAATATACTTATTACAAGACAACACAACTAATAAAATATATAATAAAACGTACACAAGTAGAAAATTCTGAGGTATTTCTGGTTTGAGGTGGTCTGTGGTCGTGAAGTTTTCTTTTTAAAGAATTTAAACCTCGGAAGCCACATAGCAAAGCGTGTGTGT